CCAGTTTTCTAATCCTAAATCCAACAGAAATTCAAGTACATATAACCAAAAGACATGTATAATAATATTCATAGCTTCATTACTTACCACAAACCAAACACAAAACAATCTAAATACTCATAATCAGTAGATCAAGTTAAAAAGCTGTGGTATATTCAAAGAAGGGAATAATATACAAAAATAAAAATAAAAACTATAGCTGCATGCAACATGATGGATATCAATCAGATAGTGTTGAGCAAAAAAAAAAGACCCTAAAAGAACACACTATTTTATTTCACTTATATTAAGTGCAAAATGGACAAAACTAATCTATGATGTTAGAAGTTAGGATAATCATTAACTTTGGAGAAAGAGGATAGTATAGTGATAGGGATGGAGCATAAGGTGGAGCTTGTGAATGCTAGTTCTATCAAACTGGGTTCTGGTAATTTTAGGATATTCACTTTGTAATAATTCATCGGGTTCAATTATGATTTGCAACCTTTTCTGTGTGCATGTTTACTTCAATATAAAAGTGAAAAGATAGGAAAAGAAATGAAGAACTAAGTGATGACTATAGAGTAGTCAGATAAAGGTGGTCCTCTATGAGGGCTACTCTGCAGGCAAGGCAAATGATTTCTCTTGGTAATATTTTTGGGAATTAAACAGTTTCAGCAATTCTCTAGTATAAAGAGATCTTCTCTGTAAGATAGGTACAAATAAATTATGGATTATTTTTCACAAGATTTGAGAGAAAGATGAGACCTAAAAGCAAATAAAAGAAAACATCAAGCAATACATTACAGAAAGCTTTGTGCACCATCCTAGAGGTAATGTGGTTAGGGCTTTTCTCCATTTCACTTCCTAATGATTCTAGAAACCAGTGAAATATTGCCAGTGGAACTATTAACTCACCTAAGCACATCTGACAATTCAGATATTAATCAAGAGCTGAGGGAAGCAGGTCTGTTACATAAGAGAAAATATCTTTGTTTTACATTAACATCTCCAAAGGACCAAAATAATACTCAACTCAACAACTATTTAAGTACCCTAACTATAATTAGCACTGTGTCAGGTATTGTGGAAAAAAACAAGAAAGAGGCAGATTTCTGAGGAGCTTTAATATAATGACACAAGACTTACTAAACACAACTGTAATAACAACTACAGAATGATTCCCAGACAGGATATGTTGAGTGTGTTGTAGGTATAGAGTTAGTGAGAGAGAAAAAGGAATAGGTATATTGGATCCAGGTGATCAAAAGACTTGAATGTCTTATTGAAAAGTCCAGATTTGAAAATCTATACAAAACTATTTTTTCTAGATCCCATGCCCTAAAAATACTCTTGGATTTAATGATTCCTAGTCATTTTCTTGATCAACCAGCTTTACTAAGTAATTTAAAATCTGGATACATTAACGTTCCATCTAATTAAACCAAGAAATGTTTTGTGGAAAGCCAAATTAGGAACATATTTCAAATATCCCCAACAGTCCCAAATAAATTATTTTTAATCTTCCCATACATATTTTTCTAAACACTTCTTAAACCTTAGAGCTTTGATTTAGATTGCCTATAGGGGCAATCACTGGAATGAGGTAATACTTTTATTTGCATCCCTCACTAGATAATCTTCTAACCATTAAAAAATACCTAATACTTAATACAGTGTCTGGCTCATAGAAGACTTCCTATTTATTGAACTAGATTGTTAAATTATACCAATATATTAACCTTACTCATATCTCTTATAGTGTGGTCGATTTTGATAATATCCTTCCCTCAACACCTTTCTTTACAGACTGAAAAAAACAACTAAAAAGTCTCTGTATCCTTTGGTAATTCAATTGGGTTTCTGGGGACTTTTACCAGCTGTTAGGTGTTTCTTGAGGATCAGCCACCAGAATTTCCTATATAATTGTGGATGCAAATCCACTTTGGTCTTTTACATGGGAAAGATTAGTTTTGTTCTGTCATTATTTTCAACACCCTTCCTCATGACAACTACCATATTCTTGGTTTTGAGGACCACAGCCACAAATGGGCCAACTTCTTCACAATGATTAACAGTCATTTTAATTTTTTAAATCTAACAATCATATTGTGTATTATCTTACTCAGATCTTGAGATCATCTCCAGTGAACATACAGATAAATCTACAGGTACTTGGTTACTACAGCTTAAGGAGACAATTATGATTCCAGGTCTGAAGTGACCCTTTCTATCATCAGTAATGTGTTTCCACTGGGGTGGCTTTTCTAACAATTCCCTTGGAGAACTTTGCTGATCTCTTTGCTATGTATCTTGACTGTCCCAATTTCATTCTCTATCCGCTTTTAAATGTTTATAATTAAGGGATGACATACATACATCTTTAGTGGTTTCTAGATCCCTTTCTTGAGTCATAACTGAGCCTGTTATCTCTTAAGCATGGATAGTTTTGCATGACCTGATACAATTATGTGCCTCTGACTGTTAAGCCCACTTGGTGTCATGAGATCTTGCTGCAGTGTATTCTTACCAGTTTGCCTTCACTCCTTGCAAATAAACTGGTAAGAAACCTGAATGTTCTGTCCTTTGAAGGGTGTACATTTCTTGCTTCCTCTCCATCTAAGAATTGCTGTAACAGCAGCTGTTTGTGTTGAAAAGCTAAAATATAAAAATATGACCTACGTGGCCAAATCCCACAAGGCTGTTTACTTCCTTATTCATGAATCAGAATCTGTCAGTACAACTTGAAGTCTTGACTGTCAGCAGATACTGCGATTAAATGTCTCTGCAAAGCCAGCAGAGGGTGCACCAGGGCACCAGAAATTTTACCCAAGATGAAGCAGTATGAATTTAACTCTACTAGAAATCATAACAATCAACTTTCCTTTTTTTTTTTGTCTATACTAAAACTAATATCCTAAAGATAAACTTAAGTTAAGTCTGGGCTAAAATTCCTTCAAAGCATACTCTAGTGCTCCTGAAAGTGAAGTTCAGGAAGAATAAGAAATACATGGCTAAACTTGATCTGGCCAAAATACAGGTGGAGTATAAGAAAAGTATGCAGATCTGAGTCCCCTACTTTGTAAAAATTCTACTATGGAGCTCTACCCCACTACTTCCCAAAAAGGCTCCAGGAGGTGGTATGCTATGGGGAATAGGCACTGAACTGGGAGTCAAGAAAATAACTTCAGTTCTAATTTTGACTGTAGTTGTATGATCTTGGACAAGTCACTTTCCCCTCAGGGCCTAGGTGTTCTCCAAGAGGCTCAAACAAAATGGCCTCATGTGGCTCCTCACAATTCTTAAATTCTGACTCCAATTGATCTCAGCAATTGTAAAGAGCCAGCATGCTTGCTTCTACTGCTCACAAAAATTAAAACAGTAAGAATAAAGGACAGAAGATAGGGAGCCGTATTTAAACCTAAACAGTACTATTTAAAGTGCCATGAAAAGGACAGGCAGCCAAATGCCATCATAAACCTGTGAGAGTTGCATACCATCACAGAAACCCTAGAGTATAGCTGTCCTGCTAATCCTCTATAAACATGGGTCTGTCTATTCTGAACACCAAAAGCCTTGGCCACCATTTGACTAAGGAAATTCAATTCCTTCAGCTTTTCACAGAATATCAGTGTTCAGCTGCTTAGTGTATGTACTGGGCATTGTGGAGGCAGGGGTGGGTAGATAAAGGGAGCCAGAATCCTAGTTAACTATCATTTACTACAGTGTTTAAAGTTTCAAGTATGGGAAACATGTTTACTGATTCTCTTCTTTGAAAACTGTTATATAAGTTGGAGTATGGTAGCAAGACATTTTAAGGCTCAGGGCAACTTTACAATGCACAATGTAGAAAATGTGTCAGTCCTAACATTACAGTATTACCATGAATGTAAGGCCAGCTTTGGATGGGTGATCAAAATACCACAAATAATGTTTACAGAGTATGACAATGGCTCTGGATGTGGTTATAAATATAGAAGGCTTCGGTCCCTCACCTCAAGGAACTTATTTGCACGGGTTGTCCCTTTCCCCCAAAGGAACAAATTCATTATTATCCTTTAACCATCTCAAAGGATTCTTGGATGCCCCTCTTAAAACTCACATAAATCAAAATATGGCAGTAAAGAGAATACTTATTTTAAGTACACTAAGTTTACTTGAATAAAGAGCTGAAGAAGTAGAAAACAAACACCAAAGCTAACTGTTTGCTAACAAGGGCACAAACACCATAACGATTGCAAAAAACCGCCCTTGAGAGATTACTCTTGAGTAATTATTCTATGAGTACATTCCTGTTCTCAAGTTTGCAGTAGTAAATGACACTTCACACCCACTCTGCCCAGCCCATCTTCCAAAAAGAATCAGAACCAGCATGCAAAGGGTGAGTTTTATTTCCATAGATTTTTGAAATTGCTGTTCAAAAGTTGTCTAGCAAGAGGGCATATTGCTATCAGAATTCCTCAGGGGTGCTGATCCTCACTAGAACACGGAGGATAATCAGTCTCAAATTGCAGGTAAGCGTGAATAAGCTTAAGTTCTAGCCAACGCACAAGGATCCACGCTGAAAATATGATTACGAGTTCTTTCAACAGGCGTGGAGCAGTTATTACAGCTGTTTACAACTCCAACTCCAAAGGGGAGCCTGCTAGTGCTAGCATCAGCTCTGGACGCGAAAAAACAAGCACCGCGGGCAGGGATTCCTACCAGGAGCAGAAGGGCCAAGCTGCTGGCGGGAGTGCCGCCAACTTTTCCCGAGGCAGCCCGTAGCCGGGGGCGGCGAGCGCGGGCCAGAGTTCCCAAGTCCAGGGTCCCGAAAAGTCTGGGCGAGCTGGACCAGGGACTGAGGACAACCTGCCCCCGGCGACCTTCCTCTCCCCCGCAAGCTTGCCCCCTCCTGGTCCTGTCTGTCCTCCAGCTAGGCTCGAGGTGGCAGAGTCCTACCCAGGGCCCTGTGGGGAAGGTCCGCGCCCTGCCCACAGGGGAGGGGGCCTCGCCGCCGCCGCCCCTACTAGGTGACTCACCTGGTGTCCGTCCTGGGAGTCTGTGGGGAGTGTGGTTTCTCCCGGTACCAGCGGCTGTTGCTGAGATGACTGCTGCCCGAAGTGGCGGGTGATGGAACCGTCAGGGTCGAGGCCCCCGGGGTTGCTCAAGGTGCCATAGGTGCCAGGGGTGCCGGGGCCGCCAAGGCGGGACTCGGCTCCCCGTTCCCGCCGCAACTCGGAGCGCAACTCTAGGTAGCAGCACAACGTCAGCAGGTGGAGGGCCAGCGAGAGGCCAAAGAAACCCAGGAAGAGCCGGCAGTTGTTTCCTTCGCCCGCCCGGGCAGGGGCCCCACGACAGCCGCAGCCCTGGCTGACCCGCTCCCGCGGATTTGCGGCGGGCAGGGGCTCCCTGCGCTCTACCTCGGAGTAGCCCATGGCCTCCGGAGACACCCTCTCTCTGAGGCCCAAGGGGCCGCCGCTTCTGCCTCAGCTGCTGTCGACCCCTGACAGGCGGCTACTGTTCTGCCATCTGCTGTGGGCAGCAGGGACCCGCTCCTGCGCTGCTAAGGCTGGGCGGGATAGAGCACGGAGCAGCCGCAAGTGCAGCCTCACTCCTAAGGGTGGGGAAAGGGAGGAGGAGGGGCAGGAGCCAGGGGCTGCTGGCCCTCCGAGAGAATGAGGGAGGAGGCCCGGGCCGACCCCGCCCCATCCCTTCAAGCGGCTGGTAGGACGCCCAACCACTGGGCCCGCCAAGCATCGGGCTCCGCCCCCTGCCTTCCACCCTGCACCTCCTGCCGTGGGGCGGGGCCTGGGGGCGTGTGGGTTGGCCTCTGCCTGGAGGCCCCACCCCGTTCTTCCCGCTTGCCCCGTTCCAGTTGGCCGCTGTCGCTCATCCATAGACTCCGCCCCAATTTAACTCTTCAGCCCGACTACAGCAGGGAGGAGGAGGGTAGAGGAGTCTGAGAAGTATTTGGAAACCTTGGAAGGAAAGTAGAGCAAGAAAAGGAGACAGAAGCTAGTATTAATAAAAATGTTTGCGATTAACTGCAGTTGTTAATACCATCATCCAGTACTTAGCTGTTGCTTTCAATCTTAAAAGCGTTTAACAGACGTTAAACTAATTAAAACAGTTCTCGGTTTGGAATGAAACCGTGCCTGCTGTGTTTGCAATCCAATGGCGCTCCAAAAGAAAAGGAGACCCAGGAGCCTGAAAGCCAAAGGGAGTGAGAATGGGGTGAGACTGAGACAGCCCTACTCCTGAAGTGAGTCTGAGGCGTCCATCTAAGTAGCCAAGAAGCCCACCTGTTCCAGGTTGCCCCTCTCAGGGTAAAACAGTCCCCTTGGATTTCTTGATCTATTAGTTAATTCAACAAATATGTGCTGATTCCTTTACAGTGTAGGAAGTGCTGTATGAGAGAATCCACAGCCAGTGTAGCTTCTCTTCTTCCACCACGGCAGAGGATTTGAGTGGAGAACATGTGCCTTCAATGAGCAAATGGGGAAACTGAGGGCCAGAACAAGGTGGATTTTTACAGGGGGTCCACAGAATGGCCAGATAATATTGGCATCTCTACTTGCAACTGTTCTGGCCTCTCCACTCCTCCCCTCCTCTCTCTGGAGTAGTCCCTGGGGGAAGTTCAACAAGTCAGCCAAATGTTCCAGATGTCCTTGGCTGCAACTGCAGCATCTTCAAACAGCTGCACCAATCAGAAAAATGTTCAAAGTCAAAAAACAACAAAAAGTGGCAAATGTCAGAACAATAGATCCTGAAATGAAGGATGGGAAGGATTAGTTGAGTCACAATGACAAAAGTTGCTAGTCTGAATTTATTGAGAGCTAAGTGACAACAGCAGAGGAAATGTCTGCTTCTTGGTCTCTATGCACTCCCATTCCCATGTTCTGAATAATTTAGTTTTATTGACTTGAGGGGGATAAGCCTAAGACCTAGGCTGGTGGAAAAGAAGAAAAATAGGGTGAAATAGAAAAGAAGACAAAAGATAAGAAACAACAAAACTAAAATAAAGCATATGGTGGGGAGGTCAGCCTAGGGAGCATAGAGGTCATAAACCTTAAATATATTAGCCACAGCCAACCTTTCTTCCATTCACTTTGTGAATGGTTTCAGTGCTTCAGAAACATCTTTGTGTCCCCTCATTGACCCTTACCCATGAAATAGTAAGTTTGCAAAGAATATCATCTTCATCAGATAATAAAAAAGGGCACTTAGTAGCTAATCTCAAGTCCTGCTTGTTCAGTCTAGAAATTCCAGATGGTAGGGGAACTGCCAGGCTGATTTACCTTAATTATCACAGCCAAGGATCATTAAAATATTAGAATAGGAGTCAGCGAACCTATCCTGTGACTGGTTTGCTGGGTGTAAGTCCGGGAAAAGGAAATCTCGGGGCAAAATACCTCTAAAAACCGAAATCAGTCAAAGGGAGAAATAAAGTTTAAAACCCGTTTATTCCTTACAAACTGCAGTACAGGGCCATTTTCCTCCTCTGCTCCTGGAGAAGCCAAAACCGACCCTCCCCTCACCTCTCAGGTACAGATAAGCTCTTCTTGTCCAGGTATTACCCATTGATATGGAGATGACTTCTCCCCACCCCTGAGGAATGATGCAAATACACTAAAGCCATACCTCTTTCCACCTCTGAACACCTATTGATATGCAGATGTACTAAAGCCAGGCGAGATATTCTGGAAATGTCACAATTTTACCCACACTGGGTCACTCTGAGCAAGTCACTGTGTATTTTGGGACCTTAGTTTCTCCAGTTGTAAAACAAGGACTTTGAACTTGTATCGCTATAGCATTGTGTTTTGTCTGTGCTGTCAACAGCTATTTGACTTGGTTGCTTACACAGCTCAAAGAGGTTGTGCCTTCTTCCCCTAAAGTGAAAAGGGAACATACAGCACCCATCTCCTGGTAGTGGTGGTGGTACTCAGGGGCCGTAGTGGTCTCAGCTTACCGTATTCTACCAGGCTTTTAACAGCTTGACTGAGACCCCGGGTTGTACCATTGCCTCAGAAGCCCTGCAAGCTGCATCTGACCTGGACATCACTTTGGTTCCTCAAAGGAAGAACATATGGCTTCATATGCAGCAGAAATTTTGGAATGGGGCAATCCAGTGAGGAATGCACATGGTTATTTTTAAAGAATGTTTTGAAGTATTTCTTCAGTTAGCTTCTATGTTTCTATAAGAACTCCATACCCAACAGCACAGGTCTCAAAATGACAGCCTGCAGGCCACATCCAGCAAACAGATGTGTTTGCTGCAATGTTGGCTAAATCTTTGAGCTGAAACAATTTAACTGCCAACATTTAGAAATCAGGAGATTTCACATAAAAAATACAGACTTCCTGCTTCTCTATAAAATATCAGAAAATCTGCTAACACGGGATCCACATTCCCATATGGCTACAGTCAGCTAGAATTTCCCCCTTGACACAAGTGTGAGCAATCAAGTTCCACAGTCATCCTACCTCCTTCTTCTAGTCTCCATTACTGTCCTTATCACTCATTTACCTTACCTGTCTGGACCCATGTACTCAAGAAGACAAAATATCAGCACCTTAGCATGACCTATAATCTGCCTCTGCAACCTTATCTTCCACCATCCTACAAGGAATCCATACCAAATTCATTACTCTTGTCACACTTCTGTGCCTTTGTGAAAACTGGTTTCTTTGTCAGGAATGCCTGTAAGAATATAGTAATTTATCCTCCAATTGCCCCATGGTCCCAAGCACATAAGCAGGTGAGAATTATGCCTGGGCTTGCCTGGGGCTTGATTGGGCTTACCCCGCCTTATTTCTAAACATCCCAACCCTCCCCCAAGGCAACAGGCCAAGCGGATCTGCCACAATAAAAGGCACCACTGCACAACGCTGCTGCCCTCTCTCTCTCTTTCTCTCTGTCCCTCTCTCTGTCTCTCTCTCTCTCTGTCTCTCTCTTTGTCTCTGTTCTCTGTCCCCCTGCTCTCCCCCCCCCCGCTCTCTCTCTACCCACCCCCTCCCTCTGGGGCAGCCACTCTCTCCTTCAGATAATAAAGTCTCTTGCGTGGGCTCGTGTCTCCTGAGTCATTCTGGGTAAGGAGGGTCGCGAGGAGATACCCTTTCATTGGTGCCGTGACTTTGGATGAGGCTCTCCCACTGACTTTACTCTTCCTCTGGGAACCTGAGCTGCTTTGGGAACCCTCACTGCCCGATCCTCCTCCACGGGCTCACCGTCCACTTCCCCAGTCACTCGTCTTCTCGCCCAACAGCGGCCTTTGATTTGGTGAGTCTCCCCTTCACGGTCGACTGAAATGTCCCTTTGGGAGCTGGGAAGTGACCACTGAGTGTCTGGCACCCCCAAGGGCTCCTCTGGGACAGAGGCACCCCCAACCACGACTTTCAGAGTCACGGTTGATCCCCATAGTTGACCCTTCTCTGCCTCAGCATGGTGAGAATCCTCATCCACTGAGGCCTGGTTTCCCTTTATCTACGTTTCTACTCGACTTGAAAACTCCTGGTACCAGGTACCGAGCCTCCTCGGCGTTTATGCCTTGACCCCACAATTAGAGGTGGTGATGACCCCCTAACTGCCTGGTCTTCTCCGCTACCTTCTCAATCACTCTAAGCGACTTCTGAACGGTCTCGTTCTCACCATGGGATCTGGCCCTCTGTTCCCACAGATTCACCGCTAGGGTGCTTACTCAATAATCTAAAGCCCCTCCACCTTACTCCAGACCTCAAACCTGTTCGCTACTGTAATGATATCTGGCCACAGTATGCCCTGGACAATCAGTCTAAATGGTCCCTCAATGGCTCTTTAGATCCTAAAATTCTCCAAGACTTATACAACTTCTGTGAGCGTACGGGCAAATGGAAAGAGATCCCATATATCCAGGCCTTCTCCTACCTCCGAACCAAGCTCTCTATCTGTCTCCCCTGCAATCCTAAACACCTACTACTTACCTTAAAGTCCACACCCCTAAGCTTTTTTCACGTTCCCAAATATCCTCAACTGCCTATAAAACTCTAGACAATGCACCACCATGGGCTCTCTTGTCCCCTCCTGGCTCACGCCAGGAGCTCTGTCTGTCCTATCACTGTATCATTACGTCTCAATCTGTATGTTTGTGTCTAAGTGTGTAAATGAAAAATATTTTTCTACCTCCGGATGGTATTAATAAAGATTGATTTAAAGACAAGCGCTTGTAAAAATTGGGCATTCTAAAATTTCCAGAAAATTCTAATAGAAGATATTAAGCATTAATGCTACTTTAGGTTGAACTGAATAGACATGTCCTTATGGTTATCAGCTGCATAAGTTTACCTAAAGTCATTTAAGTTGATGGTATCTGTTAAATCTTTCAAAGAAAAATGCTTAAAGTGAAGTGTAGCTTTCTCTAATGTGAGTAACTATTTAAGCAAGTGCCTTAAAACTTTTAACAGCTTCCCAAAATCAAATGCAAAAAGGTGTTTTTACCTCTAGTTAACTCTGATATTTTCCAGAGGGCCCCTGGAACTTGTCAGAGGAATTTTTTCTCATTGGAGAAAATATTTGGCTAATTTGGCTTATTTACCTGCTTAATTACCTAGAAGGCACTGTCACAGGGAATGATGCTAAACTTTGTTACTGAATGTTTTGTGTTACAGAAATATCCAAATTTCCTTA